TGGAATGATATACAATGAAATGGGAAAATCAGACAAAGCCATCGAATACTATGAAAAATCTTTAGATATAAAACTAAAAAAATTTCTAGAAAACGATCCAACCCTGGTACCCACTTATACTAATTTAGGAACGATGACCTATGATGCGAATGAGTATGATCTAGCATTAACATATTACAAGAAAGCATTGGATATTGATCAAAATACATTGAATCTCAACCAAAGTGGTATTGCTGTTGATTACAATAGTATTGGATTAGTGTACAAGAAGCAAAAACGTTATCGAGAAGCTTTGGAAATGTATGAAAAAAGTCTCGAAATTCGATTGAAAATATTTCCATATAATCATTCATCAATATCAACATCGTACAACAATATTGCGATGATTTACAGTGCACAAAGGAATTATACGAAAGCCATTGAACATTTACAAAAAACACTGGAAATCCAATTGAATTCATTGCCACCACACCATCCATCACTAGCTATAACATACCAAAATTTATCGATGGCCTATGATCGGCGACATCAGATGAAACAAGCATTAGATTATATGAAAAAAGCACATCAAATCGATGTGAAAACCTTGCCAACTGATGATCCGAAACTTGTACAAGATGAAGAATGGATTACTGAAGTAGAAAAACGTCTTCTAGAAATGGAATCTTGATAGAATCTTTGTTACCGAAAATATAAAGTATTTATCTCAGCTCACTAAACATTGTTCTCTTTGCTTTCATCCTGTATTTGTCATATATATATAACTGACTGAAGGTATCTCTCCCTGGCCTCTAAGCTGCTACAAGAGCTAGAAGTTTGGCAACTTATGCATATATAATACATGAGAAGTCTAGGTCAGTGACAACTCGATCTTCAATGGTTAATTATGATAAGACTTATAAGGAGTATCAGTTTATCTCATTGTCAATTTCTATAAACCGAGAAGAAGAAAAATAGAAGAAGAATACTCCGCTTTTCGGCTACCTTGTGGTATAGCGTGTTGTTCGGAAACAGTTTCGAAAGCCTGATATTTTTCCTACAATTGTTACAATGACGGGTCACGAAGGTGTGGGTGTGAGTGTGGGTGTACTTTCACAAATGACCCACACCCACACCCAGGTAGTAGTAATAGTAGATGTGGCACCTCTGTTTTAAATAATTAATATTTTTTAGTTTTTATGAAGAAAGATTTGTATAAAAAAATCCTTGTTTCTATTTAATATTATGAATGCTGGATACCAATTCTATTGAGTTGAAGTACAGTTATTTCAAACTGATACTGATATCGCTGAAGATCTGGATGATCATATGGAAGAATTTTTTCAGCTACTTCTACAGCCAATCTATGATAATGTTCTGCTTTTAAACAATCTTTTCTATGCGCATAAGTTAATCCTAAACAATTACAAATTTCTGCTAACTGTGGATGTTGTTGATCTTGTTCAAAAACCATATTAAGTGATTTTTGAAAAATTTGCAAAGCTGTTGTCCAATTTTCTTGACGATAATACAATCGAGCTAAATTGAAATACACCATTATCATTAAATTTTCCAGCTCTTCATCCTTTGTCAAAGTGACTTCTTAGTATTGATTATAATGTGAAATGGCGGGTGTGGGTGTGAGTGCTCTGTATCTAAATCCACACCCACACCCACACCCTTTTAGTTGGAACTGCATCTTGACGCAAACAAGCATTTCACATGAATCGCGTCTAGACGCATTTGATATACTTTCGATTGATATACGAATAAAACTCGATTCAGAAACCTGTTAATACAAAAAAATATTTACACGATT